TACGCCGTCATGGATTAACATCCTGCAGCGCACACAAGGTCCCCCTGCTCAAGCCAGCGCATGTCCAGGCCCGTCTGAAGTTTGCCAATGACCATCTGGATGATCCAGAGGAGGAATGGGAGAAGGTCATGTGGTCTGATGAGACATAAATAGAGCTTTTTGGTCTAAACTCCACTCGCCGTGTTTGGAGGAAGAAGAAGAATGAGTAAAACCCCAAGAACACCATCCCAACCGTGAGGCATGGTGGTGGAAACATCATTCTTTGGGGATGCTTTTCTGCAAAGGGGACAGGACGACTGCACCGTATTGAGGGGAGGATGGATGGGGCTATGTATCACGAGATCTTGGCCAACAACCTCCTTCTTTCAGTAAGAACATTGAAGATGGGTCATGGCTGGGTCTTCCAGCATGACAACGACCCGAAACACACAGCCAGGGCAACTAAGGAGTGGCTTCGTAAGAAGCATCTCAAGGTCCTGGAGTGGCCTAACCAGTCTCCAGACCTGAACCCAATAGAAAATCTTTGGAGGGAGCTGAAAGTCTGTATTGCCCAGCGACAGCCCCAAAACCTGAAGGATCTAGAGAAGGTCTGTATGGAGGAGTGGGCCAAAATCCCTGCTGCAGTGTGTGCAAACCTGGTAAAGACCTACAGGAAACGTATGATCTCTGTAATTGCAAACAAAGGTTTCTGTACTAAATATTAAGTTCTGCTTTTCTGATGTATCAAATACTTATGTCATGCAATAAAATGCATTTTTTTGATTTTTGATCAGTCTATAATTTTAATGGTAGGTTTATTTGAACAGTGAGAGACAGAATAACAACAACAAAAAACAGAAAAACGCATGTCAAAAATGTTAAATTGATTTGCATTTTAATGAGGGAAATAAGTATTTGACCCCTCTGCAAAACATTACTTAGTACTTGGTGGCAAAACCTTTGTTGGCAATCACAGAGGTCAGACGTTTCTTGTAGTTGGCCACCAGGTTTGCACACATCTCAGGGGGGATTTTGTCCCACTCCTCTTTGCAGATCTTCTCCAAGTCATTAAGGTTTCGAGGCTGACGTTTGAGCTCGATTTTGGTCTCATCTGACCACAACACTTTCACCCAGTTCTCCTCTGAATCATTCAGATGTTCATTGGCAAACTTCAGACGGGCCTGTATATGTGCTTTCTTGAGCAGGGGGACCTTGCGGGCGCTGCAGGATTTCAGTCCTTCATGGCGTAGTGTGTTACCAATTGTTTTCTTGGTGACTATGGTCCCAGCTGCCTTGAGATCATTGACAAGATCCTCCCGTGTAGTTCTGGGCTGATTCCTCACCGTTCTCATGATCATTACTCCACGAGGTGAGATCTTGCATGGAGCTCCAGGCCGAGGGAGATTGATAGTTATTTTGTGTTTCTTCCATTTGCGAATAATCGCACCAACTGTTGTCACCTTCTTACCAAGCTGCTTGGCGATGGTCTTGTAGCCCATTCCAGCCTTGTGTAGGTCTACAATCTTGTCCCTAACATCATTGGAGAGCTCTTTGGTCTTGGCCATGGTGGAGAGTTTGGAATCTGATTGATTGATTGCTTCTGTGGACAGGTGTCTTTTATACAGGTAATAAGCTGAGATTAGGAGCACTCCCTTTAAGATTGTTTTGTTGTTATTCTATCTCTCACTATTCAAATAAACCTACCATTAAAATTATAGACTGATCATTTCTTTGTCAGTGGGCAAACGTACAAAATCAGCAGGGGATCAAATACTTTCTTCCCTCACTGTATATAGTACCATTCAAAAGTTTGGACACACCTACTCATTCCAGGTGTTTTCTTTATTTTTACTATTTTTTACATTGTAGAATAATAGTGACGACATCAAAACTATGAAATAACACATATGGAATCATATAGTAACCAAAGAAGTGTTAAACAAATCAAAAGATACACTAGCGTTCAAAAGTTTGGGGTCACTTAGAAATGTCCTTGTTTTCCATGAAAACATACGTGAAATGAGTTTGAATAGGAAATATAGCAAAATGCATAGGAAATGTAGTCATTGACAAGGTTAGAAATAATGATGTTTAATATAAATAATAATTGTGTCCTTCAAACTTTGCTTTCGTCAAAGAATCCTCCATTTGCAGCAATTACAGCCTTAAAGACCTTTGGCATTCTAGTTGTCAAGTTGTTGAGGTAATCTGAAGAGATTTCACCCCATGCTTCCTGAAGCACCTCCCACAAATTGGATTGGCTTGATGGGCACTTCTTACGTACCATACGGTCAAGCTGTTCCCACAACAGCTCAATAAGGTTGAGATCCGGTGACTGTGCTGGCCACTCCATTATAGACAGAATACCAGCTGACTGCTCCTTCCCTAAATAGTTCTTGCAAAGTTTGGAGCTGTGCTTTGGGTCATTGTCCTGTTGTAGGAGGAAATTGGCTCCAATCAAGCGCCGTCCACAGGGTATGGCATGCCTTTGCAAAATGGAGTGATAGCCTTCCTTCTTCAAGATCCCTTTTACCCTGCACAAATCTCCCACTTTTCCACCACCAAAGCACCCCCAGACCATCACATTGCCTCCACCATGCTTGACAGATGGCATCAAGCACTCCTCCAGCATCTTTTCATTTGGTCTGCGTCTCACAAATGTTCTTCTTTGTGATCCGAACACCTCAAACTTCAATTCGTCTGTCCATAACACCTTTTTTCCAATCTTCCTCTGTCCAGTGTCTGTGTTCTTTTGCCCATCTTAATCTTTTTTTTTTATTGGCCAGTCTGAGATATGGCTTTTTCTTTGCAACTCTGCCTAGAAGGTCAGCATCCCGGAGTCGCCTCTTCACTGTTGACGTTGAGACTGGTGTTTTGCAGGTAATATTTAATGAAGCTGCCAGTTGAGAACCTGTGAGGCGTCTGTTTCTCAAACTAGACACTAATGTATTTGTCCTCTTGCTCAGTTGTGCACTGGGGCCTCCCACTCCTCTTTCTAATCTGGTTAGAGTCAGTTTGCGCTGTTCTGTGAAGGGAGTAGTACACAGCGTTGTACGGGATCTTCAGTTTCTTGGCAATTTCTCGCATGGAATAGCCTTCATTTTTCAGAACAAGAATAGACTGACGAGTTTCAGAAGAAAGTTATTTGTTTCTGGCCATTTTGATTCTGTAATCGAACCCACAATTGCTGATGCTCCAGATACTCAACTAGTCTAAAAAAATGCCAGTTTTATTGCTTCTTTAATCAGCACAACAGTTTTCAGCGTACTAACATAATTGCAAAAGGGTTTTCTAATGATCAATTAGCCTTTTAAAATGATAAACTTGGATTAGCAAACACAACGTGCCATTGGAACACAGGACTGATGGTTGCTGATAATGGGCCTCTACGCCTATGTAGATATTCCATAAAAAATCAGCCGTTTCCAGCTACAATGGCCATTTACAACATTAACAATGTCTACACTGTATTTCGGATCAATTTGATGTTATTTTAATGAACAAAAAATGTGCTTTTCTTTCGAAAGCAAGGACATTTCTAAGTGACCCCAAACTTTTGAACGGTAGTGTATTTTATATTTGAGATTCTTTCAAGTAGCCACCCTTTGCCTTGATGACAGCTTTGCACACTCTTGGGGGGGTGGGGGTTGAAAAGTGTACAGTATATATACCTTCATTTCTCAAGAATATACAGTCGTGGTCAAAAGTTTTGAGAATGACACAAGTATTGGTCTTCACAAAGTTCGCTGCTTCAGTGTTATGAGATATTTTTGTCAGATGTTACTATGGTATACTGAAGTATAATTACAAGCATTCCATAAGTGTCAAAGGCTTTTATTGACAATTACATTAAGTTTATGCAAAGAGTCAATAGTGTTGACCCTTCTTTTTCAAGACCTCTGCAATCCGCCCTGGCATGCTGTCAATTAACTTCTGGGCCACATCCTGACTGATGGCAGCCCATTCTTGCATAATCAATGCTTGGAGTTTGTCAGAATTTGTGGGGTTTTGTTTGTCCATCCACCTCTTGAGGATTGACCACAAGTTCTCAATGGGATTAAGGTCTGGGGAGTTTCCTGGCCATGGACCCAAAATGTCGATGTTTTGTTCCCAGAGCCACTTAGTTATCACTTTTGCCTTAGGTGATCCATCATGCTGGAAAAGGCATTGGTCGTCACCAAACTGTTCTTGGATGGTTGGGAGAAGTTGCTCTCGGAGGATGTGTTGGTACCATTCTTTATTCATGGCTGTGTTCTTAGGCAAAATTGTGAGTGAGCACACTCCCTTGGCTGGGAAGCAACCCCACACATGAATGGTCTCAGGATGGTTTACTGTTGTCATGACACAGGACTGATGGTAGCGATCACCTTGTCTTCTCCGGACAAGGTGTTTTCCGGATGCCCCAAACAATCGGAAAGGGGATTCATCAGAGAGAATGACTTTACCCCAGTCCTCAGCAGTCCAATCCCTGTACCTTTTGCAGAATATCTGTCTGTCCCTGATGTTTTTCCTGGAGAGATCACTCTTCATGACATTCTTGAGTATATGCAAATTGCCATCATCAAAACTGAGGCAGCAGACTTTGTGAAAATTAGTATTTGTTTCATTCTCAAAACTTTTGACCACGACTGTAGACTCTTAGCTTTCATTTGACACCAAATTTGCAATGCTCCTATTAACTTCACATGTTGGTGCTCAAGGGTCCTTTTACATGGACCAGCAGCTTACACAGTATAGCCATTTCTGTATCCATTGTATTGTTTATCATTGTTGGTATAACCACATTATTGTGGACACACAGTGTGGTTTTCTTAAACAATTAGTAGGCTATTTATATCCACAGAGAAGGTGAAAATGTGGTTCCTTCTTGGAGAAGGGGAAAAACCTGTCGGTCTACCACCTTGACATTATTTTAAAATGCCTGTATCTACAGTGTTTCTGCTTCATCTGTGTGACTGTGACACCAGTCAGAATGGTTTGGAAACTCCTCACCGGTCTTACTTGTTTTTCCTGCCTCGCCCAAGCCCAGCTCATTTTGGTTTTAACCAGCATGCTATGACATTTCGGAAGCATTGGCAGTCTTACCTAGAATGATTGTGGCCCACTTTCTATCTCCAGGACCTACATTTCCCAGCACCATGCCCACTGCCGCATGGCCTGAGGAGGAGTTTGTGTGCTCTGTCTGTCTGGAGACACTACATGACCCCGCCACGTTGCCCTGTGGTCACACCTACTGCCTGCCCTGCATCCAGGGGCACTGGGACCGGAATGAGGCCAAGGGTCCGTGTAACTTCCCCCAGTGTAGGCAGGTCTTCAAACCCACGACCCTCTCTGGCCAAGAGCACAGTGCTAGTGGAGGCGATGGAGAAGCTGAGAATAAAGGGCATCCAGGAGCATCCCTACCTCTCCATCTCGTCTGCCCCACCCTCCATGCCTATCTACCTGGAGGTGTGTGCGGACACAGGCCTTCGCCAATGGGGGATGTAGCCCCAGCTTCCCGTCGTCAGCCCCAGGCTTTGCCCTCAACACCAGTGGCCCCTAGAGCTCTACTGCCATGACGATAAGGAGTGTGTGTGTGACGAGTGTTGTCGTCATGGACACAAGGGCCTCAGTGTGGTTAAGCCGGAGGAGGAGAGGATGGCGAGACGGGTAAAGAACCATGACTGTGTGTTTTGTCTGTTGCCACAACTATTTTATTTGAATTTTAGAAAATACTGGGTGCATGAGAGAATCCTGTGTTTCTGTATACTGTGTCACTATGTGCAGAGGGAGCTAGTTCCGATGCAGGCCGAGACACAGAGGAGGTTCCAAGAGATGGAGAAGGAGCTTAAGGAGTTCCCACAAGCTGCCCAGCTCCACAAAGTAAGGAAACCCCTCATCAATGGCAGTATGAGTAAAATATGTTGTGGTTACATCATTTGTTGTCAGAGCCTAGTATTTAGTCACAGTTTCATAACACTCTGCCCCCTCTTTCACTTCCTTCTCTCCCCCTCTATCCATCCCTCCATTTTTGTTTTTCTTCTCTCCATCTCTATGTCCTCGCTCTTCTCAGAGCTCAGTCCAGGCCCTACAGAAGGAGGATGTGGAGCTCTTCTCTGAGCTGATGGGTACCCAGGTCGGGGAGCTGCTTTGTGCCCATGAGGCCTCCACGCCGGACTGAGGGCCGAATCCACAACCTGGAGCAGGAGCTGGCCCAGCTCCGCAAGAAAGACCAGGAACGCAGCCGACTGGCCAGCATGCAGGACCACATCTGCTACTTAAAGGTACAGGGGACAAGATAATGGGATTGAGATGATGACAGTTTAATTGGGACAAGTGTCAATGACCATCCTCACCACCAGGTGTTATTGTCTTCTATTGTTCTCTACAGAACTGCTTCACCCTGGAGCCCCTCACACAGAATGGGGGCAGAGAGGGGGTAGGGCTGGGTGAGGAGGCCCTTGTGTCTGAGATTCAAACCGTGATGGGAGAGCTAAGAGATGGACTACAGGATCTCTGTAAATCCAGCATGGCCAAGATCTTCAGAACTGGTGAGTCATATGTCCTGAAACATATACAGGGCGATTAGGACCTGTTTTAATATTTTCCCTTTTGATTGTGTTGGTTCTGTTGAGAAGTAAATGGTTCTTAATATTACTGAAACTGTTTTCTTGCTTAAAGTGAATGATGCCACTCGTAGTCCATCTCAATTGTTCAGTGGTCAAGCTGCAGGGAACAGAGCATCTACTGACAACAATCAGGTGGCTACACAAAACGCAGGTAAGCATCTACAAGTCATGTTAAAAGAAAAAGAAAACACAGAAGGGTGCAGCTGCCATTTTCTATCCGAATGTTAGTCTTTTTTCTATTTTTTTTCTCTCTCTGCAGCATCCGAAGTGCCATCAAACCCTCGACTGAACACAGGTAAATGTTTCATTCAGTCTTTGTATGAGAAGATTATCAAGTACATCAACCTTTTAATAACAGACTAAAGGTGCTTTCCCCGTGTTGCATTTTAGTATGTGAAATAACATCAAACCCTTCACCTCTACCTCCACCTAGCCGATTAAACTCAACTCCACAATTTACGATGGAGTTGAGCGGCGACTAGTTTGGATGGATTGGAGCTCCGACGTTATGTATAATTACATTTTTATAAAAAACGACTGATTTAAGCTCCCAGAGAATAGCCCGCAATTACACACATTGTCGTAAATCGTTGAGTTTAGTCGGCTACCTCCACCTAGACCTCAAGGTAAATGCATTGATTAGTCTGAAAAAAGTTAAATACAGTTTCAGAAATAACTGTAAAAACCGCTTTCTTATGCTTTTCATTAGTGAATGAAGTGACATCAGCAAACTTTCTACCTCAACCTCCATTACCTCCAATTGGACCTCAAGGTAAATATATGAACAGCGGTCTGAGGATTGGCATTATAATGCAAATAAAATGTCGCCAATAAAATAATTTTTCTCTCTCAACTTTTAGTGAACCAGGTGACCACTGTTGGTTTGACAAACCCAGAGCTGAAAACCAGAGAAGAAATGCTCAAATGTGAGTACCCCTTTTACTGCATAAGCAGCATTGAAGACTACAAAGGAAGACAATAGCATCACCAGTCTTTCCTGTCTTTCTCCATGTAGTTTACTTTAATCCGACATTTGACCCCAACACTGCGTACCGTCACCTGAAACTGGCTGATGGGGACCGTAAAGCCACTGAAGGCAGAGAAGCAGAACCAGCCGGAGCACCCCGACCGTTTCATCTACTGGAGACAGATACTGTGCAGGGAGCCCCTGGCTGGAAGCCCCTACTACTGGGAGACAGAGTGGACGGGCCAGAAGGTGGGTCTCAGGCTACGACCACATTTGACTGGAAAACTCATGGGTACATACCAGTGGAGGCTGCTGAGGGGAGGACGGCTCATAATAATGGCTGGAATGGAGTCGATGGAATGGTATCAACCACGTGTTTGATGTGTTTGATACCATTCCATTGGCTCCATTCCAGACATTATTTTGAGCCGTCCTCCCCTCAACAGCCTCCACTGGTACATACTCATTATAATTACATTTCTATGGTTGCTCTCTCATCATTAAGATCACGTCAACTTATGTTATGTTCTTGAGAGATGCCCTTGGTTTGAATCTGTCATCAATTGACTAGTATTCACTATTTTGGCTATAAGTATTTTACTTAGTGATGGATTTTATTGTTTGTCACTCAGATCACTTTCGGCATGGCCTACAGAGACTTGGACAGGAAGGAGGCTGACGACAGCAGCAGACTGGGCTACAATGAGCAGTCTTGGAGCCTGAACTGGTCTGGGACGTGCTTCTCCATGTGGCATGCTGGGAAGGAGACCCATCTAGGCTCAACCAAGGCTGGGGTTGTACCTGGACCAACATGAAGGAGTACTGGCCATCTACAGGATCTCCAACAACTAAGCCCATCTCATCCACTCCCTCCAGACAGACTTTACTGGCCCCCTCTATCCCAGGTTCCGCTTCTGGTCAGGGGTTTGGGCGTCTGTGACTCTATGTCAACTGGACTAGGCTGGCATCTGGTGGTTCAGATCCATTCTGGAAGCCATGAGAAGGAAGTCCGCAATGACAGTACAGTGCTCAGTGCTTAACAACAGTTTATATGTAATACAACTGGTAGGAAAGTTCCAGTATTGGATGCTGATTTGCTGATAGCTTGTTCCAGCCATATCTCAGCTGCTGTCCTATTGTGATGTGCCCTTTTGGCTTGTAAGAATTATATTAAAATGCATGATAAATAAATAAAAAATGAGCATAAACAAAGTTGCTTGAGGTGAATTTGAATTGTTTTCAAAATGCCAGTAGTAACTTCTCTTCAAATAAAATTTTATTTGTCACATACACGTGTTTAGCAGATGTTATTGCGGGTGTAGCAAAATGCTTGTGCTTCTAGCTCCGACAGTGCAGTAATATCTAACAAGTAATATCTAACAATTTCACAACATATACCCAATACACACAAATCTAGTGAGGAATGGAATTTAAGAATATATACATAAATGGACAAGCAATGACAGAGCGGCTTGGACTAAGATACAGTAGAATATTATAGAATAGAATACAGTATATACATATGAGATGAGTAGTGCAAGATATCTAAACATTATTAAAGTGACTAGTGTTCCATTTCTTAAAGTGGCCAGTGATTTCAATAGGCAGCAGAAGCCTCTGTGCTAGTGATGGCTATTTAACAGTCTGATGGCCTTGAGATAGAAGCTGTTTTTCATTCTCTTGGTCCCAGCTTTGATGCACCTGTACTGACCTCGCCTTCTGGATGATAGCGGGATGAACAGGCAGTGGCTCGGGTGGTTGATGTCCTTGATGATCTTTTTGGCCTTCCTGCGACATCGGGTGCTGTAGGTGTCTTGGAGGGCGGGTAGTTTGCCCCCGGTAATGCGTTCTGTTTTGAAATTAGGTCAAGGCCATTTTCAGTTTAACACAAATGAGTTTCCTGCAGTTAGTAAGACTAGCCCATTATATAAATTTGTCCACTTAGCTCGTTTACATAAGTTGCTGACGAACAGTTTATGACAGGAAACTCCATCTCCACATCATAATTGCTGACCTTGCTCCAGTCGTTCTGCCTCAGTCTATTCGCGTCATCTGCATTATTCCCCATGGCTTTCCACATAGGAAGATCAACACTGAAATACCTGTCACTCATTGGCCCACTGTTCTTATTTTCTCCTGGTTTGAGATACAGTGAGGGAAAAAAGTATTTGATCCCCTGCTGATTTTGTACGTTTGCCCACTGACAAAGAAATTATCAGTCTATAATTTTAATGGTAGGTTTATTTGAACAGTGAGAGACAGAATAACAACAAAAATCAGCAGGGGATCAAATACTTTTTTCCCTCACTGTAAGATTTGTCCCACCAGCCCACAATGCACTGCCATGACAGTGATCTTTTGAGATTATATTTAGAAATCTATGTCTAAATCTGTATTGATACATAACTGTTTGGAAGAGACTATCATTGTCCTTATATATCATTGAACACTGCACCTCAATTGGCAAGGATGAATACAGTTGCATGCATTTGAAGGAAACATGACATGCAAATTGTAACATTTGGGGAAGTCACACAGTGTTGAAGACTTGCCAATCCATTCCCAACTATACCTACTGGAAACTGTAATTCCAGTAACCCAATCTCAATTTTTTCTCTTCTCCACCCCTTTATTATCCAGTTTGTTGCTTAGTGTTACATTTACATACATTTAATCACTCACGTGTTCTGACTACCTCATCACATAGAACTGTGCAGTAGATTTTATGGAATAGTTAGTATTATGTTGCTTTGTGCACAGGAAAGGGCCTTCCCCCAAACTGTTGCCACAAAGTTGGAAGCACAGAATAATCTAGAATGTAATTGTATGCTGTAGCGTTAAGATTTCCCTTCACTGGAACTAAGGGGCCTAGCCCGAACCATGAAAAACAGCCCCAGACCATTATTCCTCCTCCACCAAACTTTACAGTTGGCAATATGCACTGGGGCAGGTAGCGTTCTCCTGGCATCCGCCAAACCCAGATTCGTCCGTAGGACTGCCAGATGGTGAAGCATGATTAATCACTCCAGTCCAATGGCGGCAAGCTTTACACCACTCCAGCTGACGCTTGGCATTGCGCATGGTGAACTTACAGTTGACCGGGGCAGCTCTAGCAGGGCAGAAATTTGACAAACTGACTTGTTGGAAAGGTGGCATTCTATGACGGCGCCACGTTGAAAGTCACTGAGCTCTTCAGTAAGGCCATTCTACTGCCAATGTATGTCTACGGAGATTGCATGGCTGTGTGCTCGATTTTATACACCTGTCAGCAACGGGTGTGGCTGAAATAGTCAAATCCACTAATTTGAAGTGTCCACATACTTTTGTATGTACTTTAATCAAACACCAAACACCCTGACAACCTACTCCCTCTGCGCTCCCCTCCCAACATGCTGTGCTGGGAATGAGTTCCCTGTTTTTGACCTCTCGCTCATCAGCACACCCACCAAGCAAATTTAACACAAACTCCTATCGCCTGTTGCATCAGGAATGGGTCCCCTGCCGACTACCTGACACTCTCTCCATCTTCCATTAACATACACAATGAGCAGGTGGAAGCTGCCTGACACCTGAAAACACAGGTAAAGTGTTGTTGCAGTTCAATGGGAACTCCATGGTCCAGGTGACCGACAATACCTGTCCCACATTTGCAGGACACAAAGCCTGCCGCTGCCCAGCCCACAGAGGACAGACAGTGGGAGGTGGGGTTTACTCAGAGTTTATAGGCCGAGCTCCTCTCCTGGTGACTGTCTATCCATTCCATCCCGCTGTCTGTGAACATCGACTGCCATCTCCAAGCTGCAAAATGAGAGGTGGGCGTCTCTATGGTTTCCTATATGACAGGGAAGCATACAGTATATTTAGGCTCCAGAGTTGTTGAATGAGGACAGAGGAGTTAAGCTTTTGGTCTAGAGTAGCCAAGGGGGTGCACGACTCCTGTCCTGGAGGGCAGCAGTCCTGCTGCTTTTTGTAAGGGGAAATGGGCTCCGCTAGGGTACAATTTAAAATATCACTGGAACATGCTGCTAGATCAGGTAGTCTATGAGAGATTCAAGTTACAACGACTATTCAATGGCTCTTATATTTATACTTTCCCTATTCAAATACAGTCTGTTCGGTTGTGAGTAGTGTTGATTCTCTCTGCATGCACCATTTGTCTAAGATAGTGTGTCGCTGCAGGTGTGTGTACAGTATATGGAAGAGTGCATACTGTGGTGTAACTGTGTGCTTTACTCTCTCCATCACTGTAACTAACATGCTCTCTTCTCCTACAGCTATCGTACTGCTGTGGTTGCTGGGGGCCGCTCTGGCCAATGAATACAGCTGGAATAGCCCTGGAGAGACTACAAAGGATCCCAAAACAGAGAACTGTAAGGGAGGGAGGGAGAGAGAGAGAGAGAGAGAGAGAGAGAGGAGAGAGAGAGAGAGAGAGAGAGAGAGAGAGAGAGAGAGAGAGAGAGTAGGAAGGGGAGAAAGGGAGACACACTGAACACATTGAGGATGGCATCAGCAAGGAGTGTTGAGAACCACTGTCTAATCCTTTGTCCTGTCTGTGTGTCTGTTCATCTGTGTGTCTGTGTCCACACAGTGTGTCTGACGGACCAGGCCTCCTGCGGCTGCTGCCTGATGCAAAAGCAGATGTGGAGGATGGAGCAGTTCTTCAACATGAGTCTGAACGAGCTGCAGAGTGGCCTGGAGAAGGCAAAGGCCGTGCTCAACAAAGTCCGCGGTGAGACCACCTGACCGCAACCACTATCAACATCCATCTCCATTACCACCTCAAAACTGGCCAATGTGTTACACTCTGACTGGAAACCATTTGGCTTGCTGTTATTTTGTCTCATTGTTTATTAATTTCTCTATCTTTCTATCTCTCACTCTTTCCACCTGCAGCTAGCCGCAGTGCCTTCTCCGTGGCCCTGACCAACACACGACGTTGCGAGGGCCCCTTCCGTGAAGCTAAGACCATCATTTACCAGCACGTCTTCATCAACCTGGGCGAGGGCTACAACAACCGCACCGGCATCTTCACTGTGCCCCGCTCCGGTGTCTACAGCCTGGCCCTGACTGTGTACAGCGACTCGGGCGCCCCCGGCGCCACCCTGGTCGCCTGCGCCAACCTGATGGTGAACGGGCGCCAGGTGTTGAGCTGCAGCGAGCAGAACCAGCAGGACCAGGAAGACAGCACCAGCGCGGTGATGGCCGTCCAGCTGCAGGCCGGGGACAAGTTGTCTGTCACCCTGCCCATCGGATGCTTCCTGTGCGACGACCAGAGCCACTACAACACCTTTACCGGCTTCCTGCTCTACGCCACCGACTAAGACTGAGCTGAAGCTGCTGAGACTACCGCACCCCATCACCTTCGCCCTGTCTTTAACTCCTTTGCCCAGTCCTGCTTCTGGAAGGGAACTTGGAGCTGGTCTTGAGGCTCTGTGATGAGAATGTGATCAGGGGCCAGTTCCTCCAGTGAATGTCAATCAGAACCCCATTAATCTTTCCAGGACCAGAACTAGGCTACCCCAGCCTTGACCTTCCCCCCAACCACTTTGGGTAACAACTTCTTACCCAGTCAAGTTATCCGGTGATGTATACTGTGATGGGAAAAATCAATTTGCATGTGTTTGAAAAAATTGAAAATAAACCATGATTATACAAGTACTTGGTCTGTGTATATATTTTATATCTCTCTGTGTTACTGCACTACTGTATTCATACTAATACTAACATTACTTAATGATCCTAAGGGTCCACAAATAGAGACAAACATCTCATGTACTGGGATGAGTAGGGTGGAAGTACAGCCTCCGCGCAATAAAGATAAATGCCAAATGAGTTTCTTTGAAGAAAAAAAAGAAAAGTTTCCACTGTATTTCGGGAGTCAACCATAAAGGGTTATATTGCCCCTCCCTCTTTAACTTTTCCCTTGAATGAATCAAATAAGCGCAAACAGGCAACTCAACTTACCTTTGTATCGCTATCAATTCAGTGCATCACTCAAGACTAAATTGTCACACATTGAAAGAGTACATTGTCCTCTTGAGTGAAATTGATTAATTTGACACCACTTTATGTCATCTGATAATATTTTCTACTTGTTGCTATTACCTGACCTCTGTCCCATACAGCTCAACACGTTGTCAGGGATGTACAGGCTAGGGGTGTACAGAGCAGTGAAGTTTAGCCATCAGCATTAATACTGTATCTATGTAACTGTATCAGTATCTATCTCTATGGCCATCAGATTCCACATGAGACAGATTTTACCTCAGTGACCTCAGTGAATCAAGAGATAATGTGCCACAAAATCCAGGGAGGAGTCTGTTATGGACTAGATAATATAATTTGCATGAATCTGAACAATAAAGGTGCACAAGCGCAATACAATATGTATTTGGCTCAACAATAGTGACATGAATATCTTTACAGCTTTTCTTATGTCACATTCAGTAGCACATTACTTACATTGCTATGTGCTAGCTACATACTGTATGTAGCACAACAAGTTCACTGGTCCCTAACCATTATTTATGTGTCATATATTTATGTAATCAACATACATACAGACATACAATGCAACATTTATATTAACATATACAGTGCCTTAAGAATTCATCCCTCTTGGCGTTTTTCCTATTTTGTTGCATTACAACCTGTAATTTAAATGAATATTTATTTGGATTTCATGTAATGGACATACTGAAAATTGGTGAAGTGAAATAAAATAAAAAAACGTCTTTAAAAAAATGATACAAAATAAGTCACGGGAAAGTGGTGCGTACATATGTATTCACCCCCTTTGCTATGAAGCCCCTAAATAAGATCTGGTGCAACCAATTACCTTCAGAAGTCACATAATTAGTTAAATAAAGTCTACCTGTGTGCAATCTAAGTGTCACATGATCTCAGTATATATACACCTGTTCTGAAAGGCCCCAGAGTCTGCAACACCACTAAGCAAGCGGCACCACCAAGCAGAGAGGCAACAAAGAGACCAAAGATAACCCTGAAGGAGCTGCAAATCTCCACAGCGGAGATTGGAGTATCTGTCCATAGGACCACTTTAAGCCATACACTCCACAGAGCTGGGCTTTATGGAAGAGGGGCCAGAAAAAAGCCATTGCTTAAAGAAAAAAATAAGCAAACATGTTTGGTGTTCGCCAAAAGGCATGTGGGAGACTCCCCAAACATATGGAAGAAGGTACTCTTGTCAGATTTTTGGCCATCAAGGAAAACGCTATGTCTGGCGCAAACCCAACACCTTTCATCACCCGAGAACTCCATCCCCACAGTGAAGCATGGTGGTGGCAGCATCATGCTGTGGGGATGTTTTTCATCGGCAGGGACTGGGAAACTGGTCAGAATTGAAGGAATGATGGATGGCGCTAAATACGGGGACATTTTACTGAGTTACAGTTCATATAAGGAAATCAATCAAATCAAATAAATAAATTAGGCCCTAATCTATGGATTTCACATGACTGGGAATGCAGATATGCATCTGTTGGTCACAGATGTAATCTGATAATATTTTTCAACTTGTTGCTATTATCTGACCTCTGTACCATACAGTTATGCTCAACACGTTGTCAGGGATGTACAGGCTAGGGGTGTACAGAGCAGTGAAGTTTAGCCATCAGCATTAATACTGTGGTCGGGTGCCACAAAGAGGGACTTAGGAAAATTACAATTGGCCCAGAACAGGGCAGCACAGCTGGTCCTTAAATGTACACGGAGAGCTAACATTAATAATATGCACGTTAATCTCTCCTGGCTCAAAGTAGAGGAGAGATTGACTTCATCACTACTTGTATTTGTGAGAAGTATTGACATGTTGAATGCACCGAGCTGTCTGTTTAAACTACTAGCACACAGCTCAGACACACATACATACCCCATAAGACATGCCACCAGAGGTCTCTTCACAGTCCCCAAGTCCAGAACAGACTATGGGAGGCACACAGTACTACATAGAGCCATGACTACATGGAACTCTATTCCACATTAAGTAACTCATGCAAGCAGTAAAAATACACCTTATGGAACAGTGGGGACTGTGAAGAGACACACACACACAGGGAGAGACACACGCATACACACGATAATATACTTACTATACACACACGTACACATGGAGTTTGTGTTGTAGATATGTGGTAGTAGAGTAGTGGCCTGAGGGCACACACTTGTGTTTTGAAATCTGTTGTAAAATGTATTGTAATGTTTTTAAAGCCTTGGCAGCAGCTAATGGTGATCCATAATAAATACAAATACTGTATCTATCTCTGTATCAGTATCTATCTCTATTGCCATCAGACTCCACATGAGACAGATTTGACCTCAGTGACCTCAGTGAATGAGAGATAATGTGACAGAAAATCCAGGGATGAGTAGAATCTAATTAGCATGAATCTGAACAATAGAGGTACAATACAATGTGTATTTGGCTCAACAATAGTGGCGTGCCTCTGACATATGAATATCTTTACAGGTCTTCTTATGTCACATTCAGCAGCACATTACTTAAATGCTATGTGCTAGCTACATATAGTATGTAGCACAAGTTCTCGGGTCTCTAACCATCATTTGTGTGTCATATAGCATAAAAATTCAAAATACAGACATACAATGCAACATTTATATAAACATATACTGTATGCATGTGCATTTAAAAAAGTAATCAGTAATCATCATCATCAGCAGTACTACTGTATGATCCCAACTCAACCCTGCATACACAAATACGTATTTTGTGGTTCTGCAGACCTACAGTTGAAGTCGGAAGTTTACATTCACCTTAGTCAAATACATTTAAACTCAGTTTTTCACAATTCCTGACATTTAATCCTAGTAAAAATTCCCTGTCTTAGGTCAGTTAGGATCACCACTTTATTTTAAGAATGTGAAATGTCAGAATAATAGTAGAGAGATGTATTTATTTCAGCTTTTATTTCTTTCATCACATTCCCAGTGGGTCAGAAGTTTACATACACTCAATTAGTATTTGGTAGCATTGCCTTTCAATTGTTTAACTTGGGTCAAACGTTTTGGGTAGCCTTCCACAAGCTTCCCACAATAAGTAGGGTGAATTTTGGCCCATTCTTCCTGACAGAGCTGGTGTAACTGAGTCAGGTTTGTAGGCCTCCTTGCTCGCACACGCTTTTTCAGTTCTGCCCACAAATTGTCTATAGGATTGAGGTCAGGGCTTTGTGATGGCCACTCCAATACCTTGACTTTGTTGTCCTTAAGCCATTTTAACCACAGCTTTGGAAGTATGCTTGGGGTCATTGTCCATTTGGAAGACCCATTTGCGACCAAGCTTTAACTTCCTGACTGATGTCTTGAGATGTTGCTTCAATATATCCACATAATTTTCCTTCCTCATGATGCCATCTATTTTGTGAAGTGCACCAGTCCCTCCTGCAGCAAAGCACCCCCACAGCATGATGCTGCCACCCCCGTGCTTCACGGTTGGGATGGTGTTCTTCGGCTTGCAAGCGACCCCCTTTTTCCTCCAAACATAACGATGGTCATTATGGCCAAACAGTTCTATTTTTGTTTCATCAGACCAGAGGACATTTCTCCAAAAAGTACGATCTTTGTCCCCATGTGCAGTTGCAAACCATAGTCTTTTTTATGGCGGTTTTGGAGCAGTGGCTTCTTCCTTGCTGAGTGGCCTTTCAGGTTATGTCGATATAGGACTCGTTTTACTGTGGATATAGATACTTTTGTACCTGTTTCCTCCAGCATCTTCACAAGGTCCTTTGTTGTTGTTCTGGGATTGATTTGCACTTTTCGCACCAAAGTGCGTTCATCTCTAGGAGACAGATCACGTCTCCTTCCTGAGTGGTATGACGGCTGCGTGGTCCCATGGTGTTTATACTTGCGTACTATTGTTTGTACAGATTAACGTGGTACCTTCAGGCGTTTGGAAATTGCTTCCAAGGATGAACCAGCCTTGAATACATTCACAGGTACACCTCCAATTGACTCAAATTATGTCAATTAGCCTATCAGAAGCTTCTAAAGCCATGACATCATTTTCTGGTATTTTCCAAGCTGTTTAAAGGCACAGTCAACTTAGTGTATGTAAACTTCTGACCCACTGGAATTGTGATACAGTCAATTATAAGTTAAATAATCTGTCTGTAAACAATTGTTGGAAAAATGACTTGTGTAATGCACAAAGTAGATGTCCTAACCGACTTGCCAAAACTATAGTTTGTTAACAAGAAATTTGTGGAATGGTTGAAAAACTAGTTTTAATGACTCCAACCTAAATGTATGTAAACTTCCGACTTCAACTGTATGTCAAACATACATTTAATTTTCATATCAAACTACTTTGAAATAATCACCTACACTGGGGCTTTTAAATTCATAAACACTTTCAAACTAAGTTGACACGTCATAGTTTGAGGGTAGACCTCCCTGTTTATTCTTTGTAGGGTCGCAGTTGGATGAGGTTATCTAATGACATAAACCAACACAATACTTTGACCTCTATTCTCTGATTCACCTCAAAGGAAATAGATAGCATCTAAAGAACTGGGTTGCTCAACAGGGGACATGTGACAGTCAGCAACGCCAACAAAACAACAATCAATACTGTATATGATGGTCAACAATAAGTGGAGAACAGAAACTCTCTCCACCACCTCCGCCCACACCCAGGTGTGAGAACCAGGTCCAGGTGTGAGAACCAGGTGACACTCTATATCTCCTTCTCTCCTATATATGGGTCTCCTGATCCACTGATAATGCCTCTCAATGAAACAGCAATAAACCCACGTATCTTTGGGAAACTCCATTCAAAATCCTCCATAACAATCTATTCAAGTGTAGCACACACCGCTGTGTCTACTGGGAGTTTTAGGGAAATCAGGCACCGGTGTCCTATTAAAAACGTACTATTTTCACACAACAGCAAAGATGAGCTGTTTTCTTACCGGACCTCTCATTCACACCCAAGGAAGAAACACTGACATGACATTGTCTTTCACTTGTCACATGGGAGGCTATTGAATGTGTTCTAGGTGCCCTCTGTTAGGAACTCCACCTCAGCCTGTGTTTTTGGGGTTGGGGTTTGTGTACAGGGAATGGGCGTGGAGCTTTTCTCATCCACCTGCGGAGGGGGGGGGGACCTCAGACTGGGAATCAATAGCATGGCAGCACCACACCCCTGCATTAAACTCCTACATAGTCTTAGGAGGCTTCCCAAGTCTGCTTACCTACTGTAAGAACAAGGAAACGAGACGTGGGCTTCTTACAGCGATACAGTAAGTACCTACAAGCTTTCCTCCCTTTATACTCAGACTGTCTGGAGGCTCGCAGATCTGGTGAGATAGGAGCTATGCAATGAGTATGGAATATACATAAAGCTATACACTAATGATACTGAAGTTCTAAATTATATTGTCTATTTTGATGAGACAGCTTTGGCTAAGCAAGAAGGCACTAATATGTTCTTTGAAATGTGAAACCAATCCGTTTGGAAAAAGAACTGTAGGTGAAAAACGTTTTAGAATGGATGTAGGCTACTTTAGCAAAAGGCTTCATTCTCAGAATATCAAATTTGGGTACTGAGATCAACTATTGATTAAAGAAAATGTATCAAAGATGGTTGAATGAACTATAAATGTCAACCAGTTTGCAGTTGACTAAACCAGTAAGGAAATGAAGGAGGTTGATGTAACTTTAGAGCACCATCTTGACAAGGCATACTCAAAAAACGAACTAAAACTTCAGAGTTCTGAATGGGTTGAGTAGACTGTGAAAGTTAGCTATCATGACCAGAACATGAACTACAAATATATTCTGTTTCATACAGGTGGTTCTTAGCAGAGAGCATAGCCATGCGATGTTTATAAACAAAGTCTCTTTTCATTGTAATTTGAAGGTATACTGTATGACCAACAGTAACTATCTATATATTTCAGAGAATGAAGTTAGTTGCAGTGTCTGCTCTGTGCCTGTGGGGGGTGCTGTGCCTCTGTGCCAGTGTGAAGGCCATTGGGACTTTAGAGCTGATGCGAGATGCAGCAGGTAACAGAAAACCTCATGACGGCTCAGTTTTTCTCTTTTATTTTTGTATGTTATCCACCCCAAACATATCTTAACAATCAAATGTAATGTCAAACTATTGGTCCTGCTTCGACTCATTTGACAACTTTTGACCCCTACTCTCTGCCCATCTTCCCTCTACCTCCCCTCCCACCTTCCTCCCCTATCCTCCCCCCTGTCCCCAGTGGGCTGGACTGGGGCCCTGCCCTGTGGGAAGTGGGACTGTGAGTGTGCCTTCAAGAGCCAGCCGGACTGCTGCTGTGGGGCCAATGAGATGAATATGCTGGAGGACCACACCTTCATGCGCATGGTGGACATATGGGAGCAGCTCACCCGATTGGACAACGACATCGAGGAAGTCACAGGTACTGGAAAATACGTCTGTTTCCTAGTCAGAATAAGTCAGGAACCATGGTAGAAAGCTTGACAAATCCCTAATGTTCAAGTCCCAGGCTCCTAACTTCTTCTGTTCTCCTTCCCTCTGTCTGTGACTCAGGCAACAATAAGATTGCGTTCACCGCGGCGATGAAACCTAGAAGCGACTGCTTCGGGCCCTTCACCATCAACGTGCCCATCCGCTACTACACCATCTCTCTCAACCAGGGCAACGGATACAATGACGCTCTGGGTAGGACGCCACACTGCGCTGTCACGTCATTTCCCCACATACTTCCTGGATAAATAACATAACACAACATAAAACACACATGCACATACACACACTCACCCCCACACCCACCTACACTCACTCTCCATCTCCCTGTGTGTCCTCTATCCAGGTATCTTCACCGCCCCCCGCGCCGGCCTCTACTCCTTCTCCTTCACGACCTACTCCAACGTGGGCGTGGACGGCGAGCGTCTCTACCACAAGGTGCAGCTGATAAAGAACAACGAGGTGATGGCCTCTGTGTGGGAGGACAACCGGGAGGACATGGAGGACAGCGGCACCCAGTCGGTGCTGGTGTCTCTGCACCAGGGCGACCAGGTGTACGTGGAGCTGCTCTCCGGCAGGAGTCTGTGTGGCAACACCAAGGAGTTAAACAGGTTCAGCGGGTACCTGGTCTACCCCTTCACACAGGAGTAGAGAAGAGAGTCATACACACAGGAACACACGTACATGCATGAATAAACACACACACACAAACACATACATGCACGCACGCACACACACATAAACATACACACATACATGCGGACACATACACACACATACTGTGTAACAGATCAACTCACTGACATACTGAGAATGACAATACAAATTTGATGAAATTATACAATTCTGACACTGTTAATGGAATCAGATATTCAAACATTGATCGACATCAAAACGCAAATGCAATTCTACGAAGAGGCAGAGCCTCAAATAAATTATGCAATTACAAAGTTCCAAGTGTGTGTATTGTGTGTGTGTCTGTGCACCATAGTAACCAATGATATTCCATGTACAGTGAAATTCAGTCAGTCTGCCTGTGAAATAGTATTGCATTGAACAAAATGAAAGCTGGTTTGTTACATGAAGCAGGACAGGTGTCATCTTGTGCTGTTTATTGTTTTTTTAAATTGTCCTTCACAGGTGTGGTCTGTCCATAGGGTCTAAATTAATTAATTTATCTCTAAATGAATGGTGAGTTGATAAATAATAATGCTACCTAAAACCAAATAGGCATACAAGCCGATGATAATGACCTGTAGGCTAGCTAACATTTTTTTGTAGTTTGCATTATGATTTTGAATTTAATCAGGGTTCCCACAAGTCAGGGAATTTCTGTAATATCATGGTATTTTTAAATGTGCATTTCAGACTGGAAAAGTCATGCGATTTAATAGAATAATTACAGAAAATGTGGGAATTGTAGTTCTACATACGGAAATGTATTTTCTGTTGTTTTTTCACATTGCATTGCCCAATGTGCTTTTGGTCTTTGTCTTGCAAATTCTTATCTATAGACGCAAGTCAAGGAATGTTTTATGTATGAATGGGAAACCTCTTTAATATGGGTCGCTAAAGGCCACCAGTCCATTTCATAAAAAAAGCTAGATAGAATTTAGATGAGACCGCACGCGTTCAGCTGCTGAAGGGAATTTTTCTCCAAAACCACACCCTCGCCTCTATTTTGACGACAGACGCGTGACGCTTTCATTGGATAGTAAAATGGTTGTGGAGCGTGAATCAGAGCAGGCTTGCTCAGGCCAGGTATCTTTGCTTCAAGTTCTGATCAAAATGGTAGGATAATGATTGTAGTCAATAACTTAAGTTTGCAAGTTAAGCATGTAACAAGACACTTGATGTAGGCCTACATGTTAATCATGTGAATAGTATTTATATGGGGGAAAAGGCAGCAAAGCTCTCTAAAAAAGCATAGGTCTCGCTCTTAAAAATGCTTTTTGTAGGACTATATTTTAATTACAGTGAGGGAAAAAAGTATTTGATCCCCTGCTGATTTTGTACGTTTGCCCACTGACAAAGAAATGATCAGTCTATAATTTTAATGGTAGGTTTATTTGAACAGTGAGAGACAGAATAACAACAAAAAAATCCAGAAAAACGACTGTCAAAAATGTTATAAATTCATTTGCATTTTAATGAGGGAAATAAGTATTTGACCCCCTCTCAATCAGAAAGATTTCTGGTTCCCAGGTGTCTTTTATACAGGTAACGAGCTGAGATTAGGAGCACACTCTTAAAGGGAGTGCTCCTAATCTCAGCTTGTTACCTGTATAAAAGACACCTGTCCACAGAAGCAATCAATCAATCAGATTCCAAACTCTCCACCATGGCCAAGACCAAAGAGCTCTCCAAGGATGTCAGGGACAAGATTGTAGACCTACACAAGGCTGGAATGGGCTACAAGACCATCGCCAAGCAGCTTGGTGAGAAGGTGACAACAGTTGGTGCGATTATTCGCAAATGGAAGAAACACAAAATAACTGTCAATCTCCCTCGGCCTGGGGCTCCATGCAAGATCTCACTTCGTGGAGTTGCAATGATCATGAGAACGGTGAGGAATCAGTCCAGAACTATACGGGAGGATCTTGTCAATGATCTCAAGGCAGCAAGAAAACATTTGGTAACACACTACGCCGTGAAGGACTGAAATCCTGCAGCGCCCGCAAGGTCCCCCTGCTCAAGAAAGCACATATACATGCCCGTCTGAAGTTTGCCAATGAACATCTGAATGATTCAGAGGAGAACTGGATGAAAATGTTGTGGTCAGATGAGACCAAAATGGAGCTCTTTGGCATCAATTCAACTCGCCGTGTTTGGAGGAGGAGGAATGCTGCCTATGACCCCAAGAACACCATCCCCACCGTCAAACATGGAGGTGGAAACATTATGCTTTGGGGGTGTTTTTCTGCTAAGGGGACAGGACAACTTCACTGCATCAAAGGGACGATGGACGGGGCCATGTACCGTCAAATCTTGGGTGAGAACCTCCTTCCCTCAGCCAGGGCATTGAAAATGGGTTGTGGATGGGTATTCCAGCATTACAATGACCCAAAACACATGGCCAAGGCAACAAAGGAGTGGCTCAAGAAGAAGCACATTAAGGTCCTGGAGTGGCCTAGCCAGTCTCCAGACCTTAATCCCATAGAAAATCTGTGGAGGGAGCTGAAGGTTCGAGTTGCCAAACGTCAGCCTCGGAACCTTAATGACTTGGAGAAGATCTGCAAAGAGGAGTGGGACAAAATCCCTCCTGAGATGTGCGCAAACCTGGTGGCCAACTACAAGAAACGTCTGACCTCTGTGATTGCCAACAAGGGTTTTGCCACCAAGTACTAAGTAATGATTTGCAGAGGAGTCAAATACTTATTTCCCTCATTAAAATGCAAATCAATTCATAACATTTTTGACATGCGTTTTTCTGGATTTTTTTGTTGTTATTCTGTCTCTCACTGTTCAAATAAACCTACCATTAAAATTATAGACTGATCATTTCTTTGTCAGTGGGCAAACGTACAAAATCAGCAGGGGATCAAATACTTTCTTCCCTCACTGTATGTGAATAGGGTTTACATGGGGAAATAGCGCTCAGGAAAAGCGCAGGTCTCGCTCTTAAAAATACTTGTTGTACTCGTCCATTTTGGCCTTCATCAGTTTGGGAAACAAACTGGTTCCACCAATGAGTTCGACACATGTCAATTCATTGGTGGACAGCGCTGGAATGGTTCGAGCGCATTAGAGATTGGCAGTAGCCTACTTGAGTAAAGAATATGGCTTCATCCGCCTAACCTTGTCCCCTAAATTCTTGCGCGAGAGATAAGCCTGTTTTTAGTAGTTTATCACTGATATTAGGGGATTTTATTTGTTTACTGGTAGCCAAATTAGCAGTTTCTCTTCCGTAATGGCCGATAAGACTTGATATCATAATTTAGAAGTGGCTAAACACTTAACTATTTATTATTTTGTTAAGATAAATGTATTGAAATTGAAATTCATTGACGAAGACCCATAGAACCATACAAATAGAATTATATAAATATAATCATACTAATTCTATGCATAGAGCTCACTCTGCTCAGATCAAAGCAAGTTGCCCACATTTTGTGACGCTTCATAGTTGCCATGGTAGTAGCATTGTTACATCATGCCTAGAACACTGAGGAAAGCAGAGAAGTTGTGAATTCCGAATTCAAATGTCACGATCGTTCATAAACGGGACGGACCAAGGCGCAGCGTGATATGCAAACATGTTTATTTAACGAATAAACACAACGACAAAACAATAAACCAACGATACGTGACGTCCTAAGGTACACACAACAAACCTCACACGGAACAAGAATCCCACAACCCACTAGTGCCAATAGGCTGCCTAAGTATGGTCCCCAATCAGAGACAACGAGCGACAGCTGCCTCTGATTGGGAACCACACCGGCCAACATAGATCTAGACCACATAGAAAATACACACCCTGACTCAACAAATAAGAGTCCCCAGAGTCAGGGCGTGACATCAAACCTCACTGGGCAAGCTAATATTCAGTTGACTTTTCTGTCTCTGGTGGATTATTACAGAGCTTCATTGGAACAATTTGAATCAATTCTGTTCTTGCAACTTCAACACCATTGGAAAGTTTGAGCCTGTGATCTTCACCATTGGCACAGGTAAGAGTGAGGGTGAGTATGATTGCTATGTTGTTGCCTTTCCCTTACTACTACTGGTTGTGGGTTTTAATTTTTTCAATTAATGTAATTTGTATGTAAACCATTGTTTAGGCTTTATTTGTTGCTTTTTCTTTGGGTAGTGGGTAGTTTGTGAGAGTTTACAAACAAACTACTTCAGGGAGCGACGTCCCTGCCCTATGCAAGTCCCAGGGTCAGCTGGCCTGGCTGTCAGTACCTGGTAAAGGCCCCTTGCAGGGTTACGCGGTCCACTCACTGCCTCGTGAGCATCATGGTTACTGGGAGGTCTGAGCCTGTGATCTTCACTATTGGCGGCGATGAGAGCAAGAGTGAGTATGATTTTGATGTTGTTGCCTCTACCATGTCTCTGGAGGAGTTTTACTGATCTGTTCCACCGAGAGCTGGGATGAGACCCATGACATCATGAGAGAGTATTACAGCAAACTGGTTAAAAAGAGGGATGCATTGAATGTGGATATTGGTGAAAGGGACAGCAACATGTAAGTAGAACCATTTAATTTCTCTCAAAAAACAAATAAACCAAAATAAGTTTGTGAGGCGATTACATACATAAATCATGTGTGATAAAGTAGGCTACAAAAAAGTAAATAAACTAGCCTAATCATAATAATTGAAAACAATTTAAACTCTATTGTAACTTGGGCCAGGATTTAATCAAAGGTGCACTGTCGAATAAGCACACTGCACTTGACTTCTAAAGGTAATTGACGCTTGAACCGAAGTGTGGTGAAACACCTTAGTGTAACACCCTGGCTCTGGGACTCTATATGTTGAGCCAGGGTGTGTTCTTTCATTGTGGTGTATTTCTATGTTGGGAGTTCTAGGTTGTTTATTTCTATGTTGGCCTGAGTGACTCCCAATCAGAGGCAACGAGTGTCAGCTGTGGCTGGTGGTCTCTGATTGGGAGCCATATTTAAACTGTCTGTTTTTCCCTTTGTGTTTGTGGGTTCTTGTTCCAGTTGGTCTATGTTACCTAGGACGTTACGAGTCGTTTGTTGTTTTTGTTTACTGTCCGTGTTTATCGCTAATGATAAATAAACATGTTCGTTCATCACGCTGCGCCTTGGTCCTCCTCTCTTAACGACGATCGTGACAGAAGAACCCACCATACAAGGACCAAGCAGCGTGTCCAGGAGCAGGCAGACTGGACATGGGAGGAAGCGCCGGGAAAGGAGATGGAGAGGTTGGCGATGGCCCAGGTGGGCAAATCGTGGTCCTGGGAGGACATGCTCGGGGGCAAAGGGCCATGGGCTAGGATTAAGGCCCTGGCGAGAGAGGAGCAGCGGCGTCAGCAGTGTCATCGTCGGACGGACGAGAGGCAACCCCAAAAATGTTTTTGGGGGGGGCACACGGCATGGGCGGCTGGGCAGCAGGAGGCTGCCACAGGGCGATTTGGAGAGGAGGCCACCGGGTTTGGGGGGCCAGAAGGCAGGTTGGCGGAGCCT